CTGAAAGGTAACAGCAAAGATTATTATTACATGTATTGTCTATGATACTATCTACTTATATTTCATTATGTTTCCACCAACATTCTGTTTATGGTGATTTCATTATTAACATTATTATTACTAACTAATTCAGTTTAGATTTTCCAATCAGTTGATTAGACTGAAGTGCTCGGTCTCAGGTTGACAGATCGACTCCTAGTGCAGGTGCTTCGACGATGTCTAGGCATGTAATTAGAAGTTAATCGGTGGATGTTGACTAGCACTGGAATCCAGGATAATTCACGTTTCGTCCTATTTAAGAGTCGTCAACTGGATGTACTTGCATTCTCCAGTGAGTCAGTGATGGTGTCCTTACCCTGGACTCGAACCCAGTGCCCATAGTTTCAAACATCAACGCGTTATCCACTTGACCGATTGAGCTATCAGCTGACTTCACTAAGAGGCCACATGTCAACCTGAGATCAAGCACTTTGGTTCAATCAGTAGACTGGGAAATCTAAGTTGAACTAAGTAATTAATAAAGACTCGTTGCATTAGAGGTGGATATTGTGGTCCAAGTGGTCTTATGGACAATGCTTTGGTGTTTTAAATTATGGGCATTTGGTTCGAGCCTCGGTGGGAACACCATCACTGACTCACTGGGGAATACAAATAAATCCAGATGATGAGTTCCAATTATTAATAATCATATATATTTTAACTGATTAAAAAGGCCCATTCAAATTTTCAAAAGAATGCATACTGAACAAGGAGTACTCTTTCCGATAACCTCTTCGTCATCAGGCTCTACAGTTATATGCACATTACAGTGAATGAATGAATTGTTGTTATGAACAACATTAATGTTCATTATAATAAAAGTTTTTGTATTTCCAAATGGATGAAAAACAAAACGATATTGTTTTTACTGACGTTTCGCTATTTAATGCGAATAGCTTTATCAAGGTATTATACATTAATGTTGTTTAAATTACATCGAATCAATAATATTGATAGATTACAGTTCAATAGCATCAACAAAAAATAAGCTGAATGTCAAAAAAAGTAGGCTAGGAAATTCACATGCGAAGAGGAATCCTAAGACAGAATTGCCTCTCTGGATGTCCTTCTTACAAGAAAACCATATCGTAGCATAAAAAATAAATTTTGATAGAAAAAGTATTTAGACAGGACAATATCCACACATTTTCACAGCTTCGTTCCCATCGAGTCCAAAAAAATTTGGTAAAGACCCTCAGCCACAGAGTTAGAGCTCTATGCTAAGAAGAAGTAATTGAAGATGAATTAAGGATTGTATATGATACTTGGATCGAAAATAGCTATCCCGAGAAATTGATCAAGAAATACATGACGAAGAAAGCGGAAAAGGACTACTCACTCACCATCCGTCAACAAGAAGCCTCTTTATATATGACTGCAATTCAAGGGCGATATACCAAGTGAGATGATTACGAGGAAATTAAGAAAATCAGTTCAAAGAACTTTTAATGCTGCCGAACTACACTTCTTATTCTCTATACAACCGATGGTGATTCCTCGACTGAAAAATGAATTACATGGACTAGACTAGCCACTTCAGATTGTATCTTTCAATTCAACTGCGCTTGTGTTGGAGCGAGTTACATTGGCCGTTGCTCTAGGAACTTGACTTTTCGTACTCACTGGGGAACATCTCCCAGTATGGCTAAGTAAAGGTGTAGTGAAAACAATTAACAGTTCGATATTGGACCATCTGGTGCAAACCGGCCACAAAGCCAGCCAGTATGGAAGAATCCTTCTGTATCATCTACTAGATGCCTAATAAATTTCCAAAATCATTGAAGCACCGCATGCTCCAAACAGCAGAGGTTATTGCAATTCGCCTCAAACAACCAGTGCTCTGTGTTCAAAAGAAGCAAGTCCAGTAAGCCACTACTACTGCACTGTCCGGCCTGTAGTAAAGACTACAAATTCATGAATTTGTAATATTATCTTTCCTAATTTTTCTGACATTCAGCTTATTTTATATTAATGCTACTGAGCTGTAATCTATCAGTATTATTGATTCGATTTTATTTCAACAGCGTTGATGTTGTTCATAACACTAACTCATTCATTCACTATTATGGATGGATATATAACTGTAGAGCCTGATGATGAATGGGTTATGAAGAAGAGTACTCCTTGTTCAGTATTCATTCTTTTGAAAATAATGTATTTATTCCTATCTATATAGAACATTCCAGTTTTACAGGCATGGGTAAATATTATCTAAATTGCATAAGTTTTATTTATGGTGAGATTACATGGTTGCTGTCCTTTGACATTAGTTTGTGGGTACAATCTTCTAGCTAGTCATTGAATGGAGCACCTTAAGAAATATAGAAATACTGTCTCTTGCATTAACAAAAAAACCAAACCAAGTATGTGTTGTATGAATTACAAATACATGGGAAAAAATAAGGCTTGAAGTCAACTTTTGTGTGTACGGCATCCGATCTTTTTCTTGATTTATACTCAAATTGGGTATTAATTCAAAATAAGTCATTTATTTGTGTAGTTTTGTCAGTATTTTCATTTTAAGTAACACCAAAAGTTAATTGTACTCAATGCAGACTAGTATTGGTCATTGTCAGGTAGAACATCAGCGAAAACCATCACTTGTCGTTGCATGGTTGCTCTGCGTACGAGTAAGCTGAATAACATGTAGAAAGTTATTTGTAAGCCATTGTAGATCATAGATACTGCTTGTATAGGATGTTGTACAGTGTCCTGTTATGGTGACAGTGGATATTTTAAGGATACTGAGTCACTGCTAGCCAAAACACCTTGAAGGATGATATATAAGTAAGTGGCTTCAATTCCTGTTCAACTTCAGTCTAAATGTAGATCTGTGCAACTTCCACTACAAGGTAAATAGAAGAGAAGAAGCGAGCATCCAAGTACCAGAGAGGAAAGAAAAAGTGGGTGGACTCGAATATGACCCTGATGTGTGCACTTATAAGTTTATATTCGTTGTATACTGCCATCTAGTAAACATATATCTATTTATTTCTACTTAGTCTTTTTATGCATCTATGCGACTAGTCTATTTATCGTTTATAAAGTAATTAGGTTATTTATGCACGTTTTTTAGGTACTGTAGTAAACTAATAATTTATTTGTTCTAGGAATAAATAGTTTGTTAATGTAATCAGTAGAGTGAAACAGTCTGTACAAAGAGCGTCTGAAACTTATAACCAAGGTTCAAGTTCTGACTTCTAGGGGCAGGCTTTTCCATATTTTAGAATACATGACTGTCAAGAAGTTTTGGCGGAGTATTGATTTAAAGGCTTTCATTGTCACTGGGCAAGTTTGCTTACCTAGATCGTAAGAGCTTTCTGGTGAGAATTGTATGTCCCTATTGTCTGAGAATGATATTTTGAGTAGGATCTAAAAGAAGAATACCAGGTTCATAAAAAGTTGTCTCGTTCAAAGTGGGTCAAGATTAAAAACCATGCAACATGAGATGTAGTTTTTCTTACAATCGTAGCCAAATAACACGAGGTGAGTTTAGCCTGGATTCCACTGCTAGTCACCGTCCAACAATTGGCTTATCTTAACTATTAAAATATTTGTGATTATAATCATAGTTTAATGTCAAGTGACAAAACAATCAATGTCATATATAGAATAATACACAAGGTGTATAGATTTTAGAAAGGGGTACATAATTATAAGATTAGTAGACGAATATAAAACGTCGTTAAATAACATGGTGTGAAATTTGATAAGATAGAAATTCAATTTTGTAAAAATTAAAAAAATAATAATTTTGGATTTAGAATGACAAGTGGGACAAGCGGAAAAAATTCAGAGTGAGAATAGTAATAATAATAATAATAATAATAATAGTAATAATAGCTCGATCCTGTCACACTTGGTCGATACTGGACATCTTATCGATGTCAGCACAGTTTCCAGGCTTATATACTTAATTCCGAAGTCGTTGTCACGTACAGTTCGCTTACGTCTCCTACACACAGTGTCATCACTGTCTCAGCTGTCTTAACGATTCCGGCTGTCGACCA